GCGGTGCCAGATTTCCTCCATCCACAGTAGTAGTAGCAGCAGTCACGAGTAGGAAAAATCGACTAGCAGTAGTTGTTGTCTTAAGAACGGTAGCAGCCGCAGCAGCAGCAGCAGCAGCAGCAGCACGTGCAGCAGCACGTACAGCAGCAGCAGAAGCAGAAGCAGCAGCAGCAGCAGCAGCAGCAGCAGGAGGGGGCACGTGTCACATATCCAACACTGGGTCGAGCGGCAATCATCAGGATATGCGTGATATGCTGATGTTCAAAACTGAGCGAGTCTTCCAGCATGTCTGCTCATTTGCCGAAATCCCCTTTGGAAAGAATTCGTTCCGGGGTCGCTTTGGATTAGTTTTGCAAATGTTTCTGGCCCTGAAATCCAGACTCTTCGAGACATGTTTCTAGGTATAGTTGCCGAACTCTACCTCGAATCTGAAATATGGACACGAAACACACGGATCAGTGTTGCAAAGATGCTGACATCTACGTCATCTGGGCGCAAGGGAGAGGATGCATTGCTTTCTTGGATGTTAGTATCTTCATATATCTTGGTCATCCGGATGCAATGGAACTGATGCATATTGGTTCTCCGCATGCAGAATGAGGAAAGGATATTGTAGCGAATGCGTCGGGCTCTAAAACCATCGTTTGGTCCCCAACTCGATTTTGTTGTCTTTTGCCTTTTGCATTCGGAGAATCACGATGTTATCGTCCATGGTAGTGATACATCCGTTCAGTGGCATCCAAATGACCAAGATGTTGACTTCCATGATAGCAACTTGCACAAAGATGACCCCAATGTTAACATCCATGCTATCAGTGCATCCATGTCCCTTGTCCAATTTTTGCTTTCGATGATACACGCTGGGAAAAAATCTGGAAGCTTATTGCTTTCCATGGCGAGAAGGATGTTCGCAACACAGCTATGCAAACAACACACACCGCCAGAACGGCGACATGTTGGTACTCATACTCTTACTACGCCTGCTAGTACTGCTTGAACTGCCAGAACTGCGACTACCCCTCTCTTCTTCTTCTTCTTCTTCGGGCTGTCGGTCCCTACGGACCGACCGGCACGCAGCGCCGAGCACACCCCTCTCTCTCTCTCTCTCTCTCTGTCTCTCAAGCGCAACCACGAGTTTGTAGTCCGGCGTCTCCCAGCGACCTCTTAAAAGCCGGTTTCAATAAGCGCATTTACCACTTCTACGACGACGACGACGACGACGACGACGACGACGTCGACGACGACGACGACGACTACTACTACTACTACTACTCCTGCTGCTGCTGCTGCTGCTACTATTATTAGCTCAACCGGCACCACCACGGACAATGGACCACCGGACCACAGACTACCGTCAACCCCTGAACACTGAATCCCCAAAGCCCTCACACCCATAAACATGTAATCCCCAAGCCCTAAGAGACCTATAAACATCAAGCCCTGAAACCACGAAACCTCCAACCCCTAAACCCTGAAACTCTTAATAAACCCTACGAGCGCACATCGTTTCGTATGCCAAAAAACATCTCGGGCCTCAACCGCAAGGCACAGCGACTTACCCCATAGCCACATTTCGTGTCCCAAAGCACCTTCCCCATGGCACGGCGGACAGCCATGGGTCGGAATGTGAAGCAAAAACCATCGTGCCCTGGCGTTTCATGTTATTCGGCACACGAAGAATAGGCGCAGAGCACATCTGCGAGGTCCAGTTCCGCAAGGCACAACGCTTTTTGGTCGGTTGACCGACACATGTCGGAAAACGAAACACAAACCATCGTACCACGGCGTTTCATGTTATTCAGCGCACGAAACAAGGCGTATGAGCACATCTCCGAGGTCCAGGTCCCCAGCGTGTTTTGGTCAGTTTACCGGCATAGGCAGTAAAGTGATGACAAGAACCATGGTGCCCCGGCGGTTGATGCGATTCGGAATCGAAAGAAAGCGAGGCTTCAATCAGCACACCCTCCCATACAGTATGACACCTGCAAGATCAATTCGAAGGTCTGGAAGGTTCGAGAAAGAGAGAAAAAATCAGGGAAACATGCAGGTCAGTGATACCCTCTATTGATACCCTCTCGATACCCCAAACCCCCGAACACGCATGCCTAAGGGGTTTCATATCAACAGAAGGTACATGAACAGCTACTATAAGCATCGATTGGAAGCTAGCGTGCCCTGGGGATTTGTATCAAACGCAAACACTGCAGCAGCTATGCTTCTAACCCCCTGAATAAGCTGCTCCGCAGAGCACAGTGTTTTTGGCACAGGGTCTTTGGGATCGGCACACCTACAACAATAGGTAAACATGAAAAAGACATCAAACCCTTCAAAAAAAGCTCTAAGGTCCCTAGACCCTGAGACCCCCAGACCTCCGACCCCTAAACAAAAAAACTCACAGCCTAAAACCCCTCAGCCACATAACCCTTCCAACCCCTAAACCCGCAAAGCCTTCAATCCCAAATTGCAAAACCTAAAACCCGTAAGTCGTAAACCATAAAGCCACTTAACTAAAAAAACTGAGCCCTCCTATGCTCAAACCCTCCCCTCCCTGAACGGTACAACGCTGAACAATCAGGTCAGTGCCATCACTACTACCAAGTTGCTACTATTAGTGTTGTTACAGATTGTTACTACCAGACTTCTACTACGACCACTGTCGCCGCTGCTGTCTCCCCTACTGTCGACAGGACCAATGGCATGCAATTTTGTTGTTACAGCTGCCTGAGATTACAAAGCACATCCAAGCACTCAACACTCAAGTGGCAGCTGGCCTACTACCACGGCATTCTGAAACTCGGGGTCTGCAAAGGCTTGAAGGCGGCCGGCAAAGTCATCTTCGCCATCGCTAGGCACCAAAAAAAATGGCGGCTGGTCGTAGACCTCTCAGAGCGTTCCTATCACCTACCTAAAGCCTCCACGCCAAAGCACACACCTTCAGGCTGCCGCTTTCTAGACTGTCTTTCACTGTCTGTCATGCAAAACTGCGGCCCAAGATGCCGCAATCATGGACTTTTGCTGGTTTGCTCGCAGCAAATCCTCCAGATGAAACAGTAAGTAGCAGCTGGTTCACATCTCTCGGCACATGCTAAGATATGCTAACCGTTACAGATTGAAGAAACTGAGGGTTCATGATGGAGTGCAACATATGCTCAGGTGCAGAGCTGAATCTCTCCGATGGTTCTTTCTTGATAGGCTCCATACTCAAATGTTGCAGTAAAACAAAGGGAGAGGCTTCCGCCTCTGGTATTTTCTGGTCTGGCGCTGCGACAACACAAGCGTCCTCAAAGAGAGTGCACCAGAAGAGCGGATGTCCGCAAAGGAATAGATCCACGTGGGAGTCCAGCCAGGCATAGTATTGCGCGGCGAACTCCTGCTTCACTTGGGACCTACAGCAACCAAAAACACGCGGCGCTCATCAGGCTACAGTGAACAGTCAAGTACAAGAAATCAACCAAACCATGCTTCGGCTCGATCCAGTGCAGTTCAAAATACCGGGACAAGGCTACCAGCGTTCGGCAAGACTAGGACCCTCAGTGCTGGTGTACCTGCCTCCGATCTCCACCCGTACCCTGACCATTTCCCTTCCCGCTGCTCACCACCTGCACCATCCCCGCGAAGCTATGTTGAAATCGCCCTTTCGTAGACCGTCATACGAGTCAGCAAGGGCCGAGGCGGCCAGCGCGAAGCTCTAGCGATGCTGACTTTGGAACTTCAAGGATCATTGCTTAACGGGACGCCAGTGGTGGGTGGCATGGTTGCCATAGGCACCTTCCCATTGCCCCTCGCTATGATCGTGAAGTCGCGGCACACCTTGTCCAAGCGCTGCTCATTACTAGGAACTTATGCGGCAACAGCTTACACGGCACACCATTGAACTTGCAAGATGCCTCGCCTATCAAGCTGTACAGTTGCTCATCTTTACAGCAATATGGTATCCTCCAATCTGTCTGCATGTGCTGCGACTTCCTCAGGTCCTGCAGGGGGAGCGTTGAGAGTCTTCCCAACAATCGTTTCTGAGAATGGCTGCAACTGCCAAGCGCAAAGCGTACCTTCTCTGAGCATGCTTGACCAACACCAGGACAGCACCGAGGAAAACCCATGTAATTCCTCACTTCCAAACCATGGACAAGTTTGCAGTATGCCACCCAGGACCTTTGCACGACATGTAAACAGCTCATCAAAGCAAACCATTGCAGCAAAGAACGAGTAAATCCGCACCGGAGCTTTGTCCGACCCGCCGGCTGGCTGCCACCATTCATCTAGAAATGTCAGCAGATCATTAAACGGAACAACCTGGCGAGCATTTGATCCATGAACATCTAAAAGGCTGTAGAATGCAGATCGTGCAGCCTACACACCCCGTGATGTGCAAGCAAGGGGCGTGCATTGCAATGTAGAAGACACTGACACCTGGGCTTGGCAACTCGGTCTCAGGTCAAGGGGCAATTGTCCAACGTGCAACACTGGCTCGCTTGGGGCAAGTTGCTGCGCGTTGTCGGCTTCACAACATAAGCATCTGGCATCGGCCAAACCGCCGGTACCAGATGTGAAAACTGATTCACAGGGGTCCTCGGATGCATTACAAGTAGACACTCTGCAACAGAGCAGCGCTTACACAAGCCAGATGTGAAACAACAGCCTGCACAACTGCGAAGCTGAGTTTGGTGCATCGAAACGCACTCTTTGCAAATGGCTCTATGAACCATGCTCCAACTCTTCTAAGCAAAGCTCGGATCTGCAGGAAGAGGCGCAAAGGTCATGCCCGATAACAGGCGATGGATGTTCCTTGGAACTTTTTCGGCCCAGCATCCAGGATCAACAGCATACCGCAATACAGTGACTTTGGTGTCAACCGAGAGTCACATAAACAGACCATGACGTGATGGGCCAGCCGGAGTGCTCCGTCCAGTCCAACTGCCCCTTCTTCAACAACTGCGAGATCAACTGCAAGTAAAGGATTGCCTGGGCATCGGTGGGACGAGGTACTGCTAAACCGTGGGCGAGCGGGTAAGATATCGGGTGCTGCAGCAAGCTGTGTGGCGCTTGTACGCACGTTCACAGTAAGCGTGTGCCTCATTGACATCGTTGCTCAAGGCATACCACCATGCCACAATGTAGTACAGGTTTATGTAGCCAAAGAAGCATGACTTTGTCTCTGGCCTCAAGAAACACTCTGCAAATTTCCTGGTTGCAGGTCAATCAGCATGGTAGAACAAGATGGGTCTCTGCAACCGAGGCTCTGCAAGTGCTTGGGTTGCAGGGCGAAGGCTGAGATCCCGTGGAAATCGCCGACCAAATACCATTGTCCCTGAGGGATGCCAAAACTCTGGCAGCTGCCATATCAAGCAAAGCTTTGTGCAACCGCCATGGTCTGTGTCCTCGTGCCGGTTCATGACAGTCTCCTTTCTTCAAGGTCTCTCTGAGGACCACAAGTCTCAAATACATAGCTTTCTCACATGCTCGATCCTCCTGTGCAGCCTTTGCCATGGAGAAGAGCTTCTCCAGCCATGGGTACCGCGGGAGATCAGCCAATGATTGCGGAAATCTTGGAAGATCCACTGGCCTCGGCTGGAGAAGCCGAGCACCCAAACCTCCGATACCCTGCGGAGATCTGCGGAGCAGGACCTCTGCGCAGCTGGGGTCCTGGCACGTGCCGTAGCGCAGCTATTGTCTCGAGGCGCGCTGCCTAGCAGCGTGTTGTAGAGCTAGAAAGGCGCTTGACAGCACCAGCATCGCGACTGCAAACAGTCGTTTGCAAGCCTCCCACTCGCTATCAAAGCTGCAGCTCAAAAAGTCTGGCACCACCACGTTATTGACCAGTGATCTCGCCTCCTGCAGCAAGCATTCACACTGATAGCATGGGCACTCTGCCGGGACAGCAAAAACGGCCCATGTGCTGCCGATCGCCTCTTCCCAGCGATGCAAAACCTCTTGCATCCGTGTAGAATCCTGCAAGCCCTTGGGGCAGGCCGCTTGAGCTCTACTTCGCTTCTTCCACTCGTTGCACCCAGCTGTGCAGTCACTGGCCTTGACACTGCCAAGTGCATCTGCACCGACTGTGGCCAGCGCCTTAATTCGTCTTACTTGGAATTCCCAACAAAAATGAGCCCATTCGCATGAGCTCCGTACAAAGGAGAGAAGGCCACAGGCTTGACCTGCGGACCCTTTGTTGCCAAGGCTGTCTGATTGAAGCTCAGAATGTTTTCAATCATTGTCCTCCTGCTCTGCCCATCTTTGTCGGCTTTTCTCCATGGGCTCGAAATGCTTTCGGCGCAAAAGCATGAGGAAGTAAGAAGCGAGATGTGCAACCATGACAGGAGGCAAATAATTTGCTCTTTGTTCGCTTCAGTTGTCATGCTTTGCAGGGAGGAGTTGCATTGAACGCTCTCATTCTTGCGTAATTCTTCGCAGCCTTTTAAGCACTCATTCCCGTAGAGCTGCATGAGCGAAGGCTTGGAATCGCTGCGACTGCTTCAAAGTTGGTGCTGTGTGTTGCTCGCTGTGGTTTTAGCTTCTTCAGAACGGTTGTGCCTGATGGCCAAAGGAATATATAGCAAACGAGCATCAAATCAGACCAAAAATCAGAAAGCTCCAGGCTCTAAACCCATCTCAGCCATGATTTCTGGTGCCAGCAAGCTCAAGCTGGCATGGCTGGCATCCTTGCCTGGAGTCGCTTTTGACTTGCCGCTCGGCCATCACCTGATGCCGTCTGCTAAACTCCACTTCCTGCATGTGGTGTCTTTCCGCCTGAAGACCAGCTTGGCCGTGCAACGCTGTTGCTGGTGAGGTCCTTCAGCCCAAACGCTGCCCTAGCACAGTGCTATGACAGCCATTGCAACATGCAAAGCTGGCACATCTCCAGAATGCGTATCGTGTAGTTGGTCTCCAGGGCGTCAAGCAACAACTTGACTCCCTGGCTTCCCACACAGTTCCTGCAAGGAGCTAGTTTGCAAGTGTAGCAGAAAGCGACCAGAGTTCGCAGGGACTGACTGTAGCAATAGAAAACCTGGGCCTGCCCAGGCTCAGAGATGTCAATGCCTGCACTGAGACTATCAGCAAAGCAGTCACACCAAATGTGGGGCTGGGCAGTCAGTTGCATTTGGAGGCAAGCCTGATGCAAGCCCTTTCGCGTTTGACAGCAAGTTGCTCCTGCCTCATTTCTTTGCAAGGCATTCGCAAGCTTCGCAGCACCGCGATCGCCCACCTTGCTTAGTAGCAGATCTTTGTAGAACTCGCTATGCGTTCCAGGCAAAGTAGGTTTGCGTCAAAGCTCTTCCTGTGAACATGAGCCACTTCCGATCAGCTTACAAGAGCATGGTGGGCCAAAAAACAAGCAAGGCAAGGTTGTGAGACTGATCTCAATCCCACATTCAGCATGCTGGTTTTGCAGCATCACCACTTACTGACTTTGTTCAAAACACACCCAGGTAAGTAGGGAAACCGCAGTGACGAACTGACAGTTAAATTCCGGGTTCCTGACGCGGTTCCCTTCCAGTGAAAGAGACGTCAGCGCATCATTGGCAGCTAAGGCCTGCGTTTTGAAAAAACAGCCCAAGACTATAGACAGCTCTGCAGAAACATCACGTGAGAGCAGACAAACCGGGATGATACAAGATGCTGCAAGCTCAATACTGCGGCAGGACGAAAGTTC